AATTTCCCACCTCCCTTCTGTTACAATTGCAGATATGTTGTATTATATATGTACTACAAGAGTTCAGTTAATATTTTTTGTGTATTATAATGAAATAAAAAGAAGAAATTTGTCTCAAGCTAACACACCTGACATGATTTCCTGGCTTACACAATCTCATTACATGTGAATTCAAAAAGCTTCCTGTTTCAATACACAGATTACTGTGACACATGCTCAGAAAAATAAAACAGTACACAACAATCACTGATGTTCACTTTGTCTGCACAAGGCAAACAAAAGCCAACATCAAACTCCAGAGAACCAACACCACCAGGTTATTCTAAACCCTGTCCAGAACTTTAAAACCACTGTACAAAATCTGCTTCATTTCTCATATGAAATACTAAACCAACAGTTCAAGTACTTTGCATATTTCAAACTTTAAAAATCACGTTAGCATTCTGAGGTGCTAAATCACTTGATAATCATCCTTCAGACACAAAAGCCAGTTCTGCAGTAAAGTATTTATGTGTAGCTTAGCCCACTCAATCTCCACCAGCATAAACCCTCAAAGTAACCTGAAAGGGTAAGTACAACAGGGACAAAAATACTGCCCTTTCAAGACACCTTCCCCCCTGTTTAGCCTGAAGAGTAGCACTGCTAAATATTAAAAGTTAATTCTTTCCCTGTTCCTCAAGAAAAGTTGATGACACATAAAAAGACAAATAATAAATCTGTGACACCACAGCTGAACTTCAAAAGCTGCACTCAAAGCAGTGGTTTCTGGGAATTAACTAAACTTAGTAAGAAGCAAAATCATATTTTAGGCTAAGCTATAATTTAATTTAATTAAAAGATTAAATCTAATACTAAAGAAATTATGACAGAGACATGATTTCTGATTAAAAAAAGGTTTTATGTCACAATAACCAACTTCCTCATTCAGAAACACAGCAGTTAAATTAAGCCAGACCACAGGTTAAGCCTTCCTTATAGTGGTATTCCCTACAAAGAATAATTTTTTCCTATAAGAATAATAATCCCTATAAGAATATTTTATGTTATTTTAAATTTATTTTCAATTAGGTATCACTACTGAGGTACAGCCCAAACACAATAAAGGTTAAAAAACCACCCCAATGTCAGGAAAGCAAGGGCTGACACACATCACAACACTGATCCAGGAAGAGGTCTGTTTAGTCATTGCAGATGGGGACAGCCTCTGATTTGATAATTTCTAATTACTCAATCTTACTTAACCAAGACGATCAACAACGTTACAATTTACACATACACAAACTTGTACGGCTGTCGAACTCACAGATATCAGAAGACAAAGATGCACCAATACTAAACAACAATGTAATTAAGTGCAGCTAAGCAAATTATATTTCTGTAGTGTTTTGTTTATTTACCCTAGCAAAATTCTGTTCCACAAGTGGTTAAGCCTTGGCCTAGATCAGTTTCAAGCACCTGGATTTACCATAGACATCTTTAATCAATCAGATGCTGGCAAGAAGGGAAACAGGATGGTTCAAGAGTTTTGCTACGGCACTAGAATATGACACCTTTTTAAAAAAGAAAACTGCGAAACCTGCTTCCAGAATTTCATACATAGAAGTTAACAGGGTGCTGCAAACAGTGGGAGTACTTAAACATGCTGTAAGATGCTGAGCTGTGACTAATAGCCTGCCCGCTCTCTAGCAGCAGCTAATTCCTACTTCACTTACGGAGAAGTTATGCATGCACATCGACACTAAAAATACACAAGCCTTAAGTACTGTCCTAGCTATTGCATGAATACCTTTTTAGAATAGCCTATTTCACTTTCTGAATTACTTAAAATATATTTACATGTTTTAATTGCTTGGATTTTTAAATACAATGTTAAATAAAAACACAAACCATTGGTGAGAATGAGACGTATTTTAAAGTGTGGGACAGCACATCTACAGAGTTCATGTAACTTACAGCTCATTCTGTTCAACAAGTAGCTATGTTGTAATGCATCTGAACTTCATTAAAATATAAGCCATCCAGAGTGACGCTGACAGTCTGGAGAGGTGGGCCAGTGCCAACCTCATGAAGTTCAACAAGGCCAAGTGCAAGGTCCTGCACCTGGGTCGACACAACTCCAGGCACAAACACAGGCTGGGGGGAAAATGGCTGGAGAGCAGTCCTGGGGAGAAGGACTTGAGAATAGGAGTTGATGAGAAGCTCGACATGAGCCACCAGTGTGTGCTGGAGCCCAGAGAGCAACGGCAGCCTGGGCTGCATCAAAAGAAGCGTGGCCAGGGAGGTGATTCTGCTCCTCTACTCTGCGCTGGTGAGATCCTACCTGGAATACTGTGTACAGTTCTGGTGCCCTCAGCACAAGAAAGATACAGACCTGCTGGAGAGGGTCCAGAGAAGGGCCACCGAGATGATGAAAGGCCTGGAGCACCTCTGCTGAGAGAGTTGGGGTTGTTCAGCCTAGAGAAGAGAAGGCTCCTAGGAGACCTTAGAGTGGTTTTCCAGTATTTGAAAGGGGTCTACAGGAAAGCTGGAGAGGGGTTTTTCATCAGAGAAGATAGTGATAGGACAAGGGGTAATGGTTTTAAACTGAGAGTGGGAATATTTAGGTTAGATATTAGAAAGAAATTCTTCACTATAAGGGTGGTGAGGAACTGGAATGGGTTGCCCAGGGAGGTTGTTGATGCCCTGTCCCTGGAGGTTTTTAAGACCAGGTTGGATGAGGTTTTGTGCAACGTGGTCTAGTGGTAGGGTTCCCTGCTCATGGCAGGGGGGGGGGGAGCTGTTGTACTCTTATGTCCCTTCCAACCTTAATTAGGGTTCCCTGCTCATGGCAGGGGGGTTGGAACTTGATGACCTTTAAGGTCCCTTCCAACCTTAATTATTCTATGATTTTATGTTAATATGAAAACATTCCACATAATATTCTGAGCTTGTCAATTATTCATTTCATTCCCTACCTAGGGCTGCCAAAAGATTTGAATTTTATATTTATATAAATCATAACCTTTGTTACAGGAAAATACAGGCATGCAGCAGATACATTAAAAGTAGGAAAAGCATGACCATGGATACAGTAACAAGCTGGCTCACCCACTGGTTCAGCTAAAGACTCTTATAATGATACTTTATGAAGTCACACAATCTCTGCTGCCCTTAAGTCTCCTCTCCCTATAAAAGCAGCAGCTTATATTTTCAAAGTTGTACACAGAAGAGAGAGTATAATAAATTTTGATGCTGTAATGATCAAAGATACAAGTGCTTTTTTTTTGCCATGTAAAATAAAAGATTAAGAATAGAATGGCTCATGTAATCTCAGGTGACCTTTCATCAGGATACTGGTTCAAGTAGTCTATTAAAATGAACCAAAAGTGCAGAAGATTATGCAAAGTAGTCTGCTGTACAGATTAAGTCTTCACTATTATCAAGTCTACTTAGTTCCAGTAAAAACAAACTGTTCCAGCTTAAACTCATGATCATTTTGTAAAGGAAAATCCATAACAAGTAACTTGGACAAATCCACTTACTATCTCAAATGACAGAGCACAGAAATCATCCAGTCATTTTTTAATGCATCCTGTTTTGTTTCAACACCTCCAAACCAAAACTAGATTCTGAATGCATTAAAAATGTTTAATTCTATTACAGCAATATGTTTTCTTCTCATTTTAAAGCTCAGAGAAGCATCTATACTCCACTTCATACTGAGAACAATAAGCTATCATTTTAAAGCAGTAAGGAAACTCAAAGCAGATTGGCAGGTTGTCTTAGGTTAAATAGTTGCTCCAAGTTTTGTCAAAAAGTCTGAATACACAAGCATCTATCTTCTAAATATAAGTACAAAACATATAAATACTTAAGTATGAAAGCATTGTTCAGATAAGAATATTTTGCCTCTAGTAGCAAAGACCTTAAAGGCATCACTGTTTTTTAAATCAAAATACAGTACTGACCACATGAAAGTGACAGCAATTTGCTAATGCGTTTTTTAGATAAGAAAGTAAGAACAAAATTTTATTACCTATACAAGCACTCAAGGTCAGATACACAACAGAAACTGTATGGAATACATATCCTTACAGCCCTCTACATTCTAGTCAGTTTTATGCTTCTAGGGTCCAAAATAAGCAACTAGGCCACAGGGTACAAAGCTCATATCTCAGAGCACTTTCCCTCATGAACACTCAATCTTAAGACCTTTAGTGTACCCTCATATATATCAGAGATGTGGCAAATCTTACTATCTGTCCTCAAGAAATAGCACCTTCACACAACAGTGTTACGATCTTCATACTCAACTGCCCATGACTGATCTACTGCTCATTCATGCCCAACACTTGAGTCAACAGGATAGTCAAATTCTTTAACAAAACAAGGCTTGAAGTTCAAGGAAAAAAAAAGGTTTGGAGGCCAGACAGTGTTACAAGGTTGGTGTTTTAAAAGATGGACAAAATTCCCACTTAATAATTTGCAAACTTTGAGAAGTTTTGACAACAAACTCAGTTTTATCACATTACATGTATTATCATCCTTTGAAAGCAAAAGTAAACGACCCCCTGAGTGCTTCTAGTAAAACACCAAAGTGCTTCCAAAAAAACGATCATGCTTTAAAGTCTGCAATTCAAGTTCTATACATAGAACCCTCTAACTGTTGAACAAAAACCCTGAATAAAGGCAGAACATTAATTCCTTCCGATCTGAAAGAGCACCACAGGCCTAATACTAGAAGGTGGAACCAACACCAGGGCACTGCAGAAGCTCTCTAAGGGCAGGTACATCTTTACATCTAGCAGAGCAGGCACTAGAACAGCAAGGGCACCCACCTTGACTGGAAATGAGACTAAGAAACCGAAAAAACTAGTTTGGCCGGCAGGAAAACTCTCTAAACATACGTGTTTTCAAACTCAAGCCTCTATGAAACCTTCCAGAGAAGCTCAGGATGCGTCCAGGTCCCAGCAAAGCAGCCTGTGACCGGAGCTCGAGCCAGACTCGCACTGAAACGCTACCTTCAATGTTCAGCTCGAAACAAACGTGACAAAACGAGAGCGTCTCTTTCTCGGTCCCCAGCTTGCAAACGCTGCACACGTTGTCATCGTCCAAGTCGATGCTCACGAAATGCTCGTCGTTCATGGTGCCCTGGCGGGGGGAGCGGGGGGACAAGGGACGGGGCAGTTATTCCAGCGGCCCCCCAAGGCCGAGCCCGGGGAGGCCGAGCCCGGGGAGGCCGAGCCCCGCACGCCGCCCCAGCCGCGGCCC